GTCACATGACAAAAGACTGTCTGCATCACACCTACTGCTTTATCCTGGTCCTACAACCTTTTTCAAAGAAACTCTGTAGAGATGTAGTTCCAGATATTATCTGTGGTGACTAAAATTTCATAAAACCTCAAATATGGGGGTCATTTGAAAATTTGCAGAATTTGTCACATGTTTTAAAAATATAATGCCACATTAGTGCAAAGTGGTTTATATAACCAAGCAGTGCTTTGTCATGAAGTGTCCTCCTAAAAACCTCTGTAAACACTGGGATAATAGAGCATGATGCAGCAGTGAACACTCATATTTCAGAATAGGAAATGTCAGTGTGCAGGGCTCCTTCTACAGCGATGGATCCTGGCTGTTCGAAATAAAATAAAATCAAGGTTTACCATTTCTTGGGTAGGATTGTGTATTAAATGTTATTTCTGGGTTATTTATATGGAAATTTGTTTCCAGTCAACCTGTTCATCACACTGAGGTTAAAATGACATGTACTGTAAAAGCAATTACTTAGAAAGAACAGATAAATAGAGATCCCTACTGAGCAGGATTAGACGAGACTGGCCTAAAACAAACAAACAAACTAAAAAATGAAACACAAGCGACTCAGGTCTGGATCACATCTAAACCTTTGTCACAGAAACACTGGATTGTGTAACCGAAACAACATCAAAACTACTTCAGTATTGTCACACAGATGTTGGCGCTGGTCCTAAATACAAATGTAAGTCAACACATTTCTTTCGAAGTTTTGACAGCACCATATTTTAACAGACCAGATCTTTGACTCCACATATAACTGACAGTGTAATCAAGGAGGTCGGGACCACCTGCATAAAGAATTCATTAAAGAAAGAATGCCTAATGTTCTTCGATATTCTAGCCAATAAGATTTATAAGTTCTTATTTTAATCAAATATGAACATGTTTACATATTTTTCAATATTAAAAAGGAAAGTTAGGATGTCACAGGGCAGAACCTCATACACTGAACAGCAAGTCTTTACATTTCGATCCATGTGACAGCTGCATTAGTCAAATGTAACAGAAAGGGATTATATTACCCACTGTGTTAGCATTTAGGCTCTCTCCCTGCATGAGCAGAATTACAACACCTTCGTCTGCCCATCTGCTCCCAACAGAGCACAGCACACAATGACTTGCATCACTAAATTATATGAAAAGCTGCACCTGCGAGAGCCATGCAGACGGACTCTAAAGTTTCATCCTTAGGGACTGTGCATACTATTTAGGGAGCTTTATAAATGCACAAGGATGAGATGAGCAAAACCTCCTCTGACAACAATTGTAAATAAAAATTGCCTGTATGGCAAAGATGATTCTACATCAAACAGAACCGAGATTTCTCAAGTTGCAGATGATAAGCCTCCTTTCATTAATCATAGCTTTCGATTAAAAGGTTTCAGTAAAAATGAAGAGGGATTAAAACAGAAGGATTATTCTAAAAGATGAGCAAATCAGTCTCTTTTGTGTCCAAAATCAGCTTGTTTTAATAATTCAGCCAGTAACACTTTAGCATATAAACTGCAGAACTATTCACAGACTGCTTTCATTTTCTTATGTACAATGAGAAAATAAAGTAATGTTTTACTCCCATGTACACATATTACTAAAAACATGCTCATATCAAACATATCTTTTAAAGTATCACTAGATTATTTGTGCCTCTAGTCAGTCAAATAAATTTAGGACTGACTGCAGCTTTCATTCATTTCAAATGTTGGTGTTGGATTCGGATTGTTTCTTTATAGACGGTTTTAAGCTTCAACACAATAATAAATGATTTGAGGAGTCCAGTTAGAGCTACTGCGCAGTGCTTTCTCTCTTTCATTGGGTCCCCATCTCTCT